TAACACTCCTAAAGGATTAATACAATTGTGTGGGCCTAAATCAAGTAGACACTCTATGGAAAGTGAGTATAGGTGAATGTGAGTAATAAATAGGTATCTTACCTCAGATCGTGTGCGCGAAGGCAAATGTCTGAGGTATCGTCTCGAATACGGAGTGACTAAATAGATCCAATGATCTTATAAGTACGTGAAACCGACACATACTTCAGTAATTTTGCCACATAGAACCCTGGCCCCAGATGTGCCAGAAGGCCATAGAATCATGGCCAGCCGGTCACTGGCCAGAGTATGTAGAATCCAGCCAGCCAGAGCATGTGGAATCAGTGTGGATTTGTGTAGATATGTGCATATTAGTATTACTATGAAAAAAGTAGCTAGCCTTATGGCTACAGGATGTTGAATCCAGCCGGCCAGAGTATGTAGAATTAGTATTGATGTAGATAGATAGATAATTACTAGGATTACTATGATTGAAAGCAGTAGTAGTGGCTAGCCTTGTGCCTACAGGATGTAGAATCAAGGCTGGCCAGTCACTGGTTTCAGAATTGCATACTGGCCAGATGACATCTACAACATGTAGAATCAGGGCTGGCCAGTCATTGATTTCAGAATTGCATACCAGCCAGCTTGATTCTACATCATGTAGAATCAAGCTGGCCAGTCACTGGTTGCTAAGTTTTGTACCGGCTGGATGTCTTCTACAATATGTAGAATCAAGACTGGCCAGTCATCAGTTTCAAAATTGCATACCAGCCAGCTTGATTCTACATGTTGTAGAATCAAGGCTGGCAGGTCATTGGTTCTATAATTGCATACCAGCTGGATGACATATACAACACATAGGATCCAGCTGGCCGATCATTGGTTGCTAAGTTGCATACCAGCTGGATGACTTCTACAATATGTAGAATAAAGGCTAGCCAGTCCTTGGTCTCAGACTAACTTTTAGTAACCACTGACTGGCTGGCTTGATTTTACAACATGTAGAATCAAGCTGGCCAGTCTGTAATTCTGAAACCAATGACTGACCAGCCTTGATTCTACATATCATAGAAGACATCCAGCTGGTATGCAACTTAGCAACCAGTGACTAGCCAGCTGGATTCTACATGTTGTAGATGTTATCCAGCTGGTATGCAATTATGAAACCAATGACTGGCCAACCTTGATTCTACATATTGTAGACATGATCTGACTGGTATGCAAATTAGCAAACAGTGACTGACCAGCTGAATTTTACATCCTGTAGGTATAAGACTGGCTACTATTCTCATAGTAATACTAATATTTATATATCTACATCGACCAGCACTGATTCAATATACTCTGGCTGGTGACTGGCTGTCCATGATTCTATGTGGAAAATGACTGAAGGGTCTAAAATCATAACATGATCTCTAAAAGATTAAGAGCCAATTTATTTCAGAATTGTAACAGGTCACTACACACTCCTGTCAACTTTGTAGTCAGTCACCAGTAGTACACTAGGTGGAGGGTTTCATAACTTGAGTGCCAGCTTGATATTAAAAATATTATATCTTTGCCAGTCAATAAACCATATCCTGTTTTGGTCACCTTCTCACAGGCCTCTGCATTCTTCTCACACTTTTCATTTTCGCATTTTCAGCCACACAGTGTGGGAATTACTCCACAACACCAAAAACATCACCTAATATGGTATACCCCACAATTATAATTATTCTCACACCTCTCTGCAGCTTCACCACCATACCACAGTAGCTCCCCCTTCATATATAAGTAGTAGTTTGGCATATATATAAAGGATTAATACAATCATGCGGGTCTGTAATAGACAGACACTCTCAGATCGTGCACACAAAGGCAAACATCTATTATATTCACCTGTAATAGACAGACACTCTGTGCAATGTAAGTAAAGGTGAAATATAAGTAAAGAACTAAGTGTCTTACCTCAGATCGTGCATGCAAAGGCAAAAATCTGAGGTAATGAGTTGAAACAGCGATAGCTAAATAGTTTGAGTGATCTTGTAAGTAAGTGAAACTTGGGACAATGGGAGAAGGTGCTGGCCATAGCACACAAAGGATTCAGTAGGTACAAAAGCGAAAGTGAATAACAAGACCAAAAAATAGAAACATACGATTCGATAAGCTCAACCAATCAGAAGATACAAACGAATAATGGAGTGCCATGGCTGCAGGCGCACTTGCTCAATTCCAACACTCCCCCTCAAGGCGAACGCAGTCCAAGTTCTACAGCAAAGTGCTTGACTTTTGGTGAAGGCAAGGCTTTCGTCAGCATGTCTGCTCTCATGTCCGCAGTAGGGCAATAAATGAGTCGAAGTTTTCATTGTCGATGACCCAGCAGATAAAATGGAAACAAATATCAATATGTTTGGTGTGAGTGTGATATTGGTGGTCCTTAGTGAGGGCAATAGCAGATTGGTTATCAGAGAACAGTATGGTGGGAGTAGTGATGGGGGTAAATAACTCGCCAATGAGCGAACGGAGCCATAACACTTCTTTGGTGGCATGGGTTACTGCAACATACTCGCTTTCTGTAGTTGAAAGGGACACGATACTTTGTTGTTTGGATGACCATGAGACTGCTCCACCATCAATTAGGAATGTGTACCCCGAAATCGCCCTTCTGTCCTCTGCCATGCTTCCATCCACATCAGCATATCCTATTAACACTCCCTGAATACCACCATAGGTCAACCTCAAGTCTTTTGTCCCTAGAAGATACCAATAGATGCGTCTGACAGCATCCCAATGAGCCATTCCAGGGTTCCCAGAGAAACAAGAGACTGTTGTCACAGCGTAAGAGATGTCAGGTTGTGTTCCGAGCGATGCATACATGAGGGAGCTGATTGCTTCTTGGTAGGGGACATGGTGCATAGCTGCAAATTCAGCACCTGTGGAAGGAGACTGACTGGAATGCAGTCTAGTGCTGGGCTCCATAGGATTGGAGACGGGTTTGAGATCGTCGAAACTGAAGCGACGGATGATGGAGTCGATATAGGACCATTGTGACAAAGAGATAGTGCGCTCATCGCGGTTTCATGTGACCTCAATTCTGAGTAACCAGTGGAGTTTACTGAGGTCAGTGATTTCCACATGTTTCCTAATTTGGTTCTTCAGCTCGCTTATCTCTTCTATCGTCCTGGCTGCGAGTGTGCAGTTGTCAACATGCACAACGACAATAGTGTGCTCCTCATTCCTCTTCCTCCTATAGAAGACGGCTTGGTCAACAGTGCACTGTGTAAAACCTAACTTTTCCACCAAAATTTCCACAAGTCTCTGGTACCAGCGCCTGCCGCTCTGTTTCAAACCATACAAGGTCTTGTGAAGGCGATAGACTGGATTCAGGTGCTCGGCGGATTCAAAGCCTGGAGGCCGGTGCATATAGATTACTTCATCATCAGTGAGTTTACCATTCAAGTATGCTCCTTTGATATCAATTTGATGAAGTTCTAGGTTAAGGCGTGCAGATAGGGCGAGGACTGTCCTGATAGAGGATAGGTTTGCAACGGGTGCATATGTGTCGAAGAAATCAATGCTGGGTACCTGGGAGAAGCCTTGAGCGACAAGGCGGGCTTTGTGGCGAACCACATTGCCTGCGGTGTCTTTCTTTGCACGAAAGACCCATTTAGACCCTACAAGGTTAGCTCCTGCAGGTAAGTCTGTGAGTTCCCAAGTTCCAGCCATTTGCAGAGTTGCTAACTCTTCTCTTATACCTTCCTCCCACTGCGCCCAGTCTGGGCGACGCTTTGCTTCGGCCAACATGCTTGGTTCAAGGGCCTCTGCTTCAGCGATCTTCTCTCCAATCACCAGTGCATGGTTGAGGGAGCAAAGTTCATTGTCTTTGTCTTCAAGGATGGCCAAGAGTTGCTCTATGGCATTCTCCCCCTTATTCCTTGCTTCTTCAGCAGTCTTTGGTAACTGGATGCCCTTAGGTACTGTACCTGTATCTTTGATGATGTCCAGTACTCACTGACTTGGTTTTCTGACCTGTTTAGCAACCATCTCAAGTATCGGCAAATTTGAAAGGGTTGGAATCTTGGAAGGGGGGTGAACTTTAGGAGTCTGTGGGATGGTTAATGGCTTGCTGGGTGTTGCTGCAGGGGTCTGTGGTGGAGGCGTTATCATCGCGTTAGGTACATTGTCATCTTCCTCCCCCTCGCAAAATAACGACTCTGTGTTAGATGTATCCCAATAGACATTGTGCTCGACAGAGACCGAGTGCTTATCGGGCCAGTATACCCTGCACCCGTTTTCACTACCATCATCAATGCCAACCCATCGTCCTTCAGCAACTCGTCTGCTCAGCTTTCCTCTGCCCTCAACACGTACCCAGATGCGAGATCCCCAAGGACAGAGTCGTCGAAGATCGGGTTTGCTACCCATAGCAGCTTCGAGAGGGGTGTCGCCATTGAGCGCTTTGGTGGGTGTATGGTTTTTCAACCAGACGGCATGACAGACGGCTTTTCCCCACAGATTGCATGGGAGTCTGCTATTGTGTAGCATGGTGCGAACCTTCTCCAGCAGGGTTCTGTTCAGCCTTTTGGCTACACCATTGTGCTGTGGTGTGTCATGAATGGTGAGTTTTTGTTTGGTGCCGGTGGCCTTGAGATGCATGCTAAAGGCTTTACCCAGATACTCTCCTCCACGGTCAGAGTGCAGTGTTTTGACCGCGGCGCCATGCTGGGTCTTGCACCATGCTTCGAAGTCTTTATAGGCATCGAAGGCATCGCTTTTGCGGCAGAGTAGGTGCAAATAGGTGAGTCTTGTCTTGTCGTCAGTGAAGCTGATGTAGTAGCTTCGTCCTCCCAAGGTTGCGACAGGCGCCGGACCCCATAGGTTGGTGTGAACTTCTTCCACGAAGTCTTTGGCTTGCTCACCCTCTTGGGCTTTGGCTATAGGCTTGCATGTTGCCTTGGCATACATGCATGACTCACAGAACATGGTTTCACCCAAGGATAGATCAACTCTAATGCCAGAGACAAGTCTGTTTTCAGCTAGGCGATGTGCAACGGATGGGGCAATGTGCCCCATGCATTTGTGAAGTTCCATGACCGTAATAGTCTCCACTGCAGTGTTTGTGCAGTTGTCATTGGTTTGATGAACAATGCAATAGAGCCCATGCCCAGACTTGGGGATTTGTCCAATGACTTCCTCACTGGGGTCTCGAATGATGCAGGTACCATCTGCAAAGGTAACGGAGTATCCGAGCTCATTGAGGCAGCCGATCAATACAAGGGTATAGCCAACAGCGGGAGAGTAGAGCACTTCAGTGAGTGTTAGTTTCGAAACATCCATTCCATTTGGTACTTCAATAACAAGCTCTCCGATGCCAGTGGCATTGAAACATTGCTGGTTTGCGGCTGCGAACAACTTAGACAGGATGGAGGTGAGAGTTTTAAACTGCTTGCAATATGGGGAGATGTGTCTCATTGTACCAGAGTCGTAAAGTTCAACAATGGTGCCCTCTTTTTGTCCAACGGTAACTTCGGCAGCTGTTTCCATGAGGCTATCTGTGTCGCTTCCACTGTGAGGGGCTGCTAATTCTATCTCCCAGTCGCTGATTTGCGGTAGGTCATCCTCATCTATTTCTGAGAACCAATCTTTGTTGCTAGTGACAAAGCTTGCTCATTCTTCAGCATTGTCATCTGATGATTCGATGGAAAGAAGATTCAGGATGGAGCAGGAGGATTCAGAGTTGACAGCAAACACAGCATTGTCTTTGGAGTCATCTTCTGCTGTTGCGTTAGCAGAGCCTCTGTTACCGACATTGCTGCCCAATGGTTTCTCGGGTTCAGGGCAGCGAGCTTTAAAATGCTCTTGGGAACCGCAGTTCCAGCATGGTGGGTATGGTCTACTGCTCACACCTCTTCCACCTCAATGGAAGCCTCTATTTCCTCCCCTCCCTCCATGACCTCAAAATGTCAAGTCAGTGACTGCCATGGCCTCATCAGCGCCATGAGCGCGAGCATTGTTACTGCTGTGTGTCATGCGAGGATCTTTTCTGCCACAGCATTCGGACTCCTCAATAATTAGTGAGATGAGAATATCCGGGTCGATGCTCTTGGTCAGACTGTAGAGACAAGCAGTGGCGAGTTGCCCAGAGGCAAAACTGGCAAGGTGGTTTTTCTTCTATCTGGACTCCTACTGCTGACAGCTCATCACACTTTGCACATAGCTCATCGAGGAATGTGCGTACGTCTCCTCCGCCTGGACACTTCAACTCTAGAAATTTTGTGTGAAGATCGGTCTGCGCATAGGCACCTTTCTCAGTGTATTCGTGCACAATTTCCTTCCACATTGCAACAACATCAGGCAAATTCCATACACGTAACGCAGTAGAGTCAGGGATACGTTGGGTAAGCAAGTGTTTGGCAAGGTTCTCGTGTTTCTGCCACTGGCGAGTGTGATGGGGTCAGGGGGGGATACAGTGGTTGTTCCTCCGAACATCTGGGATAGTCTGACGGGTTTGGGGTTAGTCCTGTCAAACTGTTTCCACAGTTCCTTGGCTTCAATAGCGATCTAGAAGCACAAAGAGAATATCGCCCAATTAGTGCCTTTAATATTGAGTCTGGGCACATTGGTAGGCAGAGTATCCATAGTGATGGGCACAGTAGTAGACATCGTGAATGCACAGGTTTCAGCAGTGAAAACGTGAGACATAAGGCTAATCGAGCTCAGGGCTCATAACCTAAAGGATTAATACAATCACGCAGGTCTGTAATAGACAGACACTCTGTGTGATGTAATTAAAGGTGAAATATAAGTAAAGAACTAAGTGTCTTACCTCAGATTGTGCACGCGAAGGCAAATGTCTGAGGTAATGAGTTGAAACGGCGATAGCTAAATAGTTTGAGTGATCTTGTAAGTAAGTGAAACTTGGGACAATGGGAGAAGGCGCTGGCCATAGCACACAAAGGATTCAGTAGTGTCATATACCGGATCCAAGCACCTCCAACACCACCTGTGAACATCCCCACCCCTGGTCCGACCCCCTGTTTCCCTGTCTGCTCCATTCCTCCTTTTCCAACAATGCACAAAGTGCATCTCAGCAGGATTAGCCCTGCTATCTCTGCCTGACCCTGTTCCGCTCTTCTGACACTACCCCTATGTCCTCTGACATTATACCCCTTCCATCCGACCCTATCTAGGGTTCCGCTCCTCTGCCCTATCGGTCCACCCGATCCTACTCCTACTCCTACTCCCTCCGCTTTTCCGACCTGCTCGGTTCTGCTTGTCTTATCCCACCCAACTATTAGTCCGTCTGACTGCCTCACTGGTCCACTCCTAGACTAGGAACCACTCAACTGGTCCTATCCCCGTTTAGTATCATAGTTCCGCTTTTTGGATCACCAGTGTGTGAACAACAAGTGCAGTAGCGAGAATTCGATCTACTACAAAGTTGGGTCTTTGCTGCCTGCTGCCTTGCTTGGAAACAAGCATGTTCAACTCTTAAGGGGATTGCTACTGGGGAAACACTAGTCTCTGTCTAAAGTGACCCTATAGGATGAAGGATCTGCAAAAGCGGATGAAACGGATAGGATGCGAAATGTATGGATTTGTCAGATAGAGCGGATGATACTTGCGGATCGGACAGGATGCGAATCAAAGTCAAAGGAAGTTCATTAAAGGTTGGATGGATAGTGGGTATAAGTCAAAGCAATCTTCTGGTAAGGTGCAGGAAAAGTGGGAGGAAGTTACATGAAGTAAGTATTTTTTGAAAACTTCTGTGCTTATAGGGTACAGTATTTTCAAGGAACACTTGGTATAGGTAGCGAGTCTAGACTGTGCCATAAGCTATCTGGAAAATAGTGGAGTGTGAGAGGATATGTCTGTGTTCAGTCAGTAACAAGGAAATGCGTGTGAGTACATACCAATGAGGTAGAATGGACTTGGACAGGACAGATGCGGTGGATGCGGGAGCTATAGGGGGAGATCCGAAGGTATCTGCATGTCATCCAAAAAGCGGATGGGTATTGGATGGAATGGATAGGTGTCGGATGGACATTGGATGGACACCTGATGCATCGGAAAAGCGGTGGATACGAGCCTAGCATAGGGATACTCCCTACACCGGTAATCCCTATACCCTAGCGATTCTGATCTGTCGCGTACATACTGTTCCCTGAGCCTTATTCTCGTATGTCTCAGTCATCCTATTGTAATCCTGTACACTCAGCACATAGCCTTCTGCTATTCTATGCTCATCACTTGGAGTATATAAACATATGTACATTTGTCTGTAGAGACTCAGTCTGAATATTACTTTTTCTAAGCCCTGCTCTTCTGTCCTTTGACTTTGGCTTAGCCTGAGTCAAAACTCCTGTTTGCCGACCTAGGGGATTGACTCCTGTCATATACCTGATCCAACCACTCTAATATCAATATCCGCTCCGCTTTCCAACCACCTCCACTCCATCCATTCTCCGCTCCGTCCAATCATCATCCACATCCGCCCCTATGCTTCCGCTCGACTGCCCAACCAGTCCCCTTCCATAAAACACCTCCATTCAACTGGAACCGCTTTCCCCTTTTAGATATATACTTTCCTCTTTGGTACATAGACCCTTACTCCTGGATCACCAGTAATTCCTTTTACCGCTCGATCACTAATCCGATGTGTACATATTGATATCCACTCTGACTTATGTCTTCACCTGTGTAAGTACTTACAAATTATATCCTTGGTACATAGCTTTACAACATAGTTATCCTGATCACTGCCTCATACATAGAAATATATAACATATCATGTACTTAGATATTTTCCTCAGTCTTAATATTACTTGTCTTCTTGCAGTTACTACTTGTGAGAATTCTCAGTAGGACCTTGCCTCCTCTGGACACAAGTTTCAACTTGTTGTCACCTTCCGACCCTCTGCTCCGACTTAGAGCTGTGCTCTAAGTTTCCCCCTTATTTCTCCGCCCCTTTCAATATTGCCCTCTGACCCTTTTCCATCCTCCACATTATCCTCCACCTTCCCCACTCCTACCAAACATTCCCCCTGCTCCTATCCACCCTCCGCATCACTCCCTGCCTTCTCCACTCCGCTCCTAGTCAGCCCACCGCTAGTAGCTCTTACCTCCCAACCCTCAAAGCGGACCTAAGCAGTCCACTTGTCCTATCATCGGACCCGCTCCAAATTTGGGGCACATACTCGGCTAAGGGCAGCACAAAAGCTGAAGCCAAGCCCCAACCCCTCTGCTTCTTGAGTCGGCACAGTACCTAACAACTCCCTAGGTCGGCCGCTTCCCTGCTCCTCTGTTCCTCTGCTCCTCTGTTCCTCCATTCCCCTGTTCCTCTGTTCCCCTGTTCCTCCGTCCCTCCACTCTTCCAACTCCCTGTGTGTCGGCTGCCTTTCCTGTGCATCGGAACTGACCCCTGCACTCTTGCACATCCGTCCCCTCTGTTCCGCCCTGCTTCAGACTTCGTCCAAGCAGTTCCTTCCGCTCCACTTCTACTGTTGGTTCCGACCGCAGTAGTCTCCCGCCTCCCTCCTGTTGGGTGGAACAACCCCTGGCTGACTTTCCCGTGCTCACCTAGTAGTCCATTGGTCCTCCTTCAGAGGACCCCCATTCCGACATCCTGTCAGAACTCATAGAACTCGTGTTGGACTACATTCCGAAATTAGGGGCATGTACTCGGGTAAGGGGCGCAGTGCACGAGCTGAAGCCAAGCCCCTCAGACTCAGCCTTACCCTTGAGCATGGTCTTAACAAGTAAGTACAAAAGCGAAAGTGAATAACAAAACCGAACAATAGAAACACCCAAGCCCTGCATACCACTACTTATAGGGAACATTATTTTCAAGGAACACCAAGGTACAGGTAGTAAATTCTCAGGAAGCAGAAGTGAAGGCAGGCAGTGCACATGGTGCAATACTGCACAATAGGGGTCCATGCCATAAGGGCATGTGTCAATGTGATCTGGATAATGTTAGAAGCAATGGGAAGAGAGATACAGCATACCAATGAACCTGGAAGGATGGGGACAGGACATGCAAAGGTCGTCCAACAATGTGCAGTAATATTGGATAGTGCAGGCATGTTCTGAAGGATGCGTGGGAATGCGGAACCCATTGGACAATGCATGGGAAATGCAGAATGTGTGGAATATGCAGAACTGATGTGAGACAATGTGGAATTGACAGGGTTTTACGCCCACAATGGGAGCATTCCTCACAGTGGACAAAGTGGTATTGAAGATCAATATGCTTGGTGCAGGATTGAAATTTGTTGTTGGAAGTGAGCACTATGGCGGCCTGGTTGTTGCAGTACACTGGGGTAGGGAGAGGGGGTGACTCATACAGCTCTTTGATCAGTAGCTGCAGGTATAGGATCTCTCTTGCAATGATCGTTAGAGCAATGTACTCAGCTTCAGCCATCAAGAATGCAATCAGAGGTTGCTTGCAAGCACTCCATGCTGCTGGATCACCATTTAACAACACGATATACCCTAACATAGAGTGGCGATAGGGTTGCAAGGCCCAGTCTGCATCAACATACACTTCTATCCCTGTGTCTGTAGCGCCTAAGGTAAGTCCAAGGTCAGCAGTACCCTTTAGGTAGCGAATAACATGCTGGGCAGTCTCCCAATGGACTCTACCATGATTTCACATAAATTACAAGAGCGTCACGACAGAGAACACAATATCAAGTTGTGTGTTGTAGCTGCATACATTAGCAATCCTATTGCCCATTGATATGGTATGTCGTGCATGTCTTCAAGCTGTGCGTGAGTCGTGGGGGATTGAGAGTCAGATAGGATTGTTCCAACATCCATTGGGGTCTGGGCATTCTTGGCATCAGTGAGATGAAAATGTTTGAGTATCATGTTGATATAAGTGTTTTGTGACAGGGTGATAGTGCGAGCTATGCGGTCTCTCATTACCTTGAGGCTGAGCAGCCAATGAAGGTCACCAAGGTCAGTGATCTCAGAGTGCTCCCGTAACTGTGCCTTGAAATGCATGATATGCCCCAGGTCCTTTGATGTTACAGCCATGTCATCCACCGACACGCTGATGACTGTATGCTCCTCTCACAATTGTTTGAAATAAACTGCCTGGTCAACTTGCAACTGGGAGAATCCCATCTTCCTAAATGCCCCAGCCAACTCCTCCAACCACTCGAAGCCAGCTTGCTTCAAACCGGGTAGACTCCTCAATAGCCTCAAGACCTTCCCTTCTTCTCCCTTCTTCAAGTATCTAGGGGGCACCCTCATATAAATAGTCTCTTTAATCTCTGCATAGAGGTAAGTGCTCTTGATGTCTACTTGATGTATCTCCCAGTCCTGCTGAGTGGC